CATTTTTGAGAGGTAAACTGAATATGGCATGAAATATTTATCGCATTTTACTTGTATTAACAGGTCATTGTCGAAGCGTAGTTTACGCACGGTTACCGTACTCTACGCATTCACAACATGTTCACAGCGATCGATATCCATGCTGTATCATATAAAAACGATTACCAAGATTCGTTACGCAAGACCAAGTTTTAAATTAGTTGCAATTTGAAGGGATGGGCGCTTTGCCGAATGTGACTCCAAATATAAAAAAATCGCAAAAGTGGGGGGTGAGCGCTTGCCCGGGCATGGGCGATAACGCGGTCAAGTACGGTAAATTCAATAGTTGTTATTGCTAGATATGAAATAAATGCAGACGATTGCACAGTGAAACATCATAGACTAGTGGCGTAGTACCCCTTGTATCAGTTTTATATATTGTATACTTCAGTGGAATAAGTCCGTCTTAACGATGAAACAGGTTTTAACTTACCTTTTAAATGTAAAGCAACATAAAGTAGACTTGATCTGGCTGGTGATAGGAATGGATATTTGGGTTTAAAGCAACCCACTGCTGTAAGTGACTTTGTTATAGCAGAGGACACTGCTTGTTCCATGTAACCAAGCATAGGTAAAGATGTAATAGGCAGGATCTCCTTCTTTGGGGGCAACTTGTGTGGCAGCTTCAGCCCATAGTACTTTTCTGGCAACCTGGAAAAAAAGAGATAGACACATCATATGAAAATATCTGCTTATAACTGTTTTTTAAACCGTGTCGAAAACGTGCACAGAATGGTCATTCATTGTCAACATGTCATGCTTATACATCTTACCTTAAAAACTTTTGTAATTTTTCTTCTGATTCAAAGCAGTAAAGGTTACCACGGTATTCTACTATCAGTTCAGGATCCCCAGGTACAATAGCCTCATACCTGCATAGAAAGAAACACAAATTGTTATTGAAGAATAGAGGACATGATGTTTCTCTCTCTGTATTCAATGGTGATTTATCTATTAACCTACATTCTTTTATGTAGATGGCTAACACTGCTGACCAGAAATTTCCAGAAATTTGGAAAAGTTATCCCCTTTCAATGGCTATTTGAGAAATCCAAAGAAAAAATTTCAATTTAAAATTAGAGTCCTGGGAAATCATACTTTTCATGTTTACTATTTAGCTGCATGTCCATCCATGAATACAGCATAAATATACCACTAAATTAGTAATAATGAGTCTTCATCAGTGAAAATAGTGATACTACAGACAGTACATGAAAAGTGGGAAAATACAGCAAAAAGAAAATAAATCCAATAAATACAACTGAAGAACTGTCATCATGAAACCGAAGTAATGTTATACCAGTGATTGTGCATTTCTTAAACTGCTTATATCAATGTAGTTCAATGTGACATTATCAGTTTTGTTCTGAGTGATAATATCCACTTGGAGATGGTAACTCTTGAACTACCGGTAGTCTCTGCACAAAGTTAAAATAGTCAGTTCTTTAACCACCTTACAAAAAATGTATTGAGTGTAGAAAAACTTACCTGCATTTGCCATCCAAATACGTAACAGCACAATATCCCTGTAATTCCATTTGCATTGGGAACATCGCTTTTGCTTCAGCTTGAGTTCTCCTCTTTGGAAGTAGCTCTGCAGGTGGAAGTGTACGTGGGGCAAGAGGTGGTACGAATTGTTCCGGACTTGCCAAAAAGTCATCCAGGTCTTCTTTACTTCCCATTTTATAGTAACGCCCTCTGAACTCTGCGGCATACTCCAAAGTTGGATGCACGCTGCACTCAACAAGCTCATTTCGCTTAGCCAGACTGACGGGACAATACTGGCCAAAGTCACCAAGTCGAATTTGGAACTCTTCTGGCGTGACACACATATCAGAGATAGATGCCGCATTACCTAAAATGTACATGACAATAGTTACATGACCTTTGCTTGGCTATCCAAAGACGCACTGGAACAGGAAGTCAGAAGAAGACAAACAACTTTTGCGTTAGAGTGAGGGAAAGCAAAGGCGTTTACAATCTGAAAATGCATTGTTTGTTCTTGTTTGTGTTTGGTTCTGGAAAAGTTTGTGGGATCATGAAATAAATCTGTAATATAGAACCATTCCCTATAAACTCAACTAAAAGACGAATGAAGGACAGTT